ATGTGAAATTTCCATGGTGCGTTATCTTCCTAATATAAGAAATTTGATACAAAAGCTGATAAAGTTTTTAGGATACAAATATTGGTATAGTTTGATAATAGGAAATAACGTCGCAACAATCCAAATGTCACTGTAGCTACTATAAGTAAGATTATCATGGTGCATTATCTTCGTCACAGATAATTTGATACAAAAGAGCAAGTTTCCTAGTATTTTTCCGCAGTTCATTTCGGGATCGTATAGTTAGTTCGTTTCCTCCAAATCCTCGTAAAGTTACGCTGCAGAACAATGATCTGGACTAATAATATGACTACCGCTAACTCGCCTCCCAGTACCTCCATAGTTTTTGACGGTCATTACTAAATGGCTATCAGTATATATCCCCAATCAATATCACGATTGCTCTTTATATCATGATCCAGAACTCTGTGATCATATATGATTACCGCAAGGACTGGAGAAGGATTTCTTGCCTATTCTTCATTCTGATTGGTGCTATGGACATTGGAAGTGCGTGTTTAGAGATAGGACGAGGCTCAATATCACTACTGTGCTTGAAGGACCCTTCTATGAGGATGCATCCGTGGACATTTGTGGTCTGTCAAAAGTTTGGTGTACTCTGCTACGTTACTTCGACGTTTTGTGTTCTTGTGCTAACGGTTGTGAAGACTATTAACATAATGCGTCCATTTTACACGCAGAATAACCGACTTTTGAAAATAGTCCTCTTCATTTACCCGTCCATTCTCCTGGTCCTGTGCATTATTGATGTTTGGTTCTTGAATGATCTCATATCTAGTGTTAATGATAGCCCAAAATGTGGTGTTTTTGTGGGTCCATGGAACGTTATCACTACCTTAGAAACAATTGGAAAAGGCACAACATCTCTTGTACTAAGGTTGATGATGCGTTACTTTGCATTGTCTGATGGCGCAGCAAATCACATGATGATTATCATGGACATAGTTATATCTTTAGTTCAGTTTGGTCTGCCTTGCTTGATCGTGCTTGTATGCATGGTTCTTCAGATGATCCATATAAAGAAAGCATTTGGAGGTCACGAAAATCCACAGCTGAACACTGCAAACCAAGTTAACTTAACAGTGTTTCTAATCTCGTTACTGTACTTGTGTAGCGTCTCTTTGTACTATATTATGACATACCCCTTGATATTGTATATTTTGAACGTATTGCCATTACCCATCCTGGTAATGTTACGATTCACACTTCCTCTGATGAACGCAGCACTGTTCCCAACCATCCTGATCCTGCATAAACCGGAAATGAGAGCACGGTACAGAAACTACATAGCAAAAGTTCTCCTTCTACCACTCACCATCTATGGAAAAGTTCGTCATCTGGCTCAAAGAAGACGAGGATATACAGAGATCTCATCAGAACTACAAACATAGTACATACTCGGCAAAGTTTGTTATCTGGCTCAAAAAAGACTATGATATTTATGACATAAAGTGATTAATTTTGCTTTACAACTCTGATTTAGGCGAATATTTAAATTTGCAATGATTAAGATGATCGGTTAAATTTATTGATAATGATTTTGTCTCATGAAATGGTCCACCTCTAAGTGCTGTGTGGACTAAAATTGGTTAATAATCTTAACCATGATCTAATAAGATGATCGATTTTTTTACAAACATATTGATTAAGATGATTGATGAAAAATAAAAAGCCATTGATCAAGATGGTTAATATTTTAAATTAAAAGAAAAAAGAAAGATAAAAAGACGAAAAAAACAAAACATTATGGATCAATGATTAAGATGATCAACAAAAATTAAATTTGCTCGATTGATATTCGAATGCATTTCTATTTTGTGAATTATTTTACGAAAAAGACAATATCGCCTTGAAAGAAGATGTTTGTTATATCTTTAAAATTAACTGTCAGAATTATTATTTCTCCTTTTTCGTTTGACTGTCATGATAATATATGTTTCTATATGAAATGTGTCTTTAATCACTTTATCACAATTTTGTTCGACAGATTCCGATCATTATGGAATACCAAATTAATACATAACTACCAATTCCATAATTGTTATATTTAGCGTGTGTTTGTGTACTCCTCGTGATTATTATTTAATTTTGTTTTTTCAAAAAAATGGATTGCGGAGTCATTGAGTGAATAATCTTTTCTAATTTTTAACAAATTTAAAAAGTATTATAATTTAATAACGCCCATCAACGCTTAGATATAGGAAAACGAACAATGTCAGACATTTTTCAAAGCACTAGTTCCAACTTTTAATATCAGTACAATGTCCTTATTCGTCATATATTACCAGTATAAACCGTACGCAGTTTTATTCGTCGATAATAATAAAGTTCTAAATATTCCCTAATCAATATTTTACGTCTCTATTTTCTCTTTTATCCCCGAAAAGTCGTGAAGACTGAGCGCTGATAATTTCCCGCGATAGTAATGGATCTGGGTGAATATTCTAATTTTAGACAAATCTAAAAAGTGCAATAATTCCATAGCGCTCAATAACGCTAAGATTTAGAAAAAAGAACAATGTCAGACATTAGTTCCAACTAAGATCAGTGATGCATAAAATCTCGAGAGCGGGCAGAAGATTCTCATGTCAAAAATTTCCAGCAAATGTGATAGTTTACGGTTATAGCACATTCATAACGAAAATTTCAGCTTATCGTGCGATGGACATTATTATCATAAAGCAACGAAACGCACATTGATACTTTGTGTTTATATGGACACGTTCATTTGAGTTTGAGGATAGTGGTAAATATTAGTGGCCCTATCAAAAGGCACGGTGTAGCTGACTTTGTCACATTATGAAATTATTTATCCTCTAGGCAAACTTTGACACATAACGATATCCTAATCAGGTGATAAGATATCGCCTAAATACGGCCGGCACGGAAATGTTTACTTTGTCACACTACAAACATGTAACGGAGTAAATATGGACCCCTTGCTGCTGTGTTTGACCAAATTTTGGTGAAATTGAGCAAATATTGATATGCCAGCTTAAACACCCTATATTACTTACTATATACTGGATCAATCAACACTATTACAACCACGCACCAGTCACATAAATTATTATATGGTAGTAATATGTTTACAGTGTCACAATTGAAACATCGCAACATGGTAAAAAATAGATTAATTTTGTCACAAAAAAATATTATAACTCTGTTTGCTCCTTGCGCTGGAAGATAACTTGTTTATCGAAATTTTTAGCATGATAAAGTTATATTGAATTCTTATAGAGATATGGTGAACTTCAAAATAGGGCAAGCAATGTTAATTTCGTAACATAAGTTTTTTTAAACGTTTGATAATTTTTCATTCACATTAACATTCTTATTATTATATGGTTGGAATTGATTAATACAAGAAATATAGCAGCCCATACCAGTTTGCTGCATTAAATTTATATTGTTGGGGCACAAAATTTTAATTCTGTCACATTTTTAGTGACTTAGCAAAATTTAACTTAACAATATTAAACTTGAGCTCTGATGTGCTGGACAATAATCTACCAATTATTTCTGAAAGAATATTGAACTCTAATAGAGGTATGGTGAACTTCAAAATAGGGCAAGCAATGTTGACTTCGTCACATCATTTTTGTGACAATGTTAACATGAACTGCCCTCTCTTGAATCGACTGTATCGTCCATACTCCTGTATTGTCCATACGCTTTCCAAACCAAAATTAGATATAAATGATTTCGGCAATGCACCCAAAATTGAAAATTCTATAAAATGTGACAGAATTAATCTCATTTCCCAATAGCCAAGTGCGTGTATTAGGCAACCATTCAAAACAGCATATCTTAGGGCTGCAATTGATAGAAGAACCATCATATAATAAGTTAAAAGGGTTTTGAGGACACTTCACAGTAAAAAAGAGGTATCGTATTATGAGTGTGACAAAGTAATCCAAATATTGCCGTATAGCCGCTCGATCCGTGCCCTTTAACCAATGTTGTATCACAATTGTTAGATTGACCTAATCTACTGTATTTAAGACCAAGGAATGTTAATTGGGCAGCTACTGCAGTTAACTAAGTCACAAAAATGTGACATTTTAAACATTATAGTGCCTAACAACAATACATTTTATTTCTGATCTGTGTATAATATACACTGCTCAGAAATAAAATATACACTGTATATGGGAGTATGGGTCACGTGGCTAATGTTCAGAACTTCTGAACTCGCTAGGTTAATAGATGCCAAAATTAAGCCACTGGCACTATCGTCAAAAACACTATTATTTTTGTTTACCAATATCCTCAAACTCAATTGAATGTATCCATATATATACATTATACATATATATAATACAGTAAATTAACAATAAATTAACAATTAATCAAATTAATAATCAGAACGGTTCGTCATAAAATTTGACCAACTTTTTATTGGCAAAACGATCATCGTGCTATCTGCAGAAGAAACAAGAAACAAAAAGCGTTCACCGAGGCGTGTGTATGCTACTAATTTGGATGAATGACTTCACACGTTTTAAACTAATTACAACACTACAAGTCTATTACATTTATTGAGGTGATAGTCCCTTCTGGATGGCCGTAAAAAGCCGAAACTTGTCGAGTTAAAAGCGGCATGCCTCGGGATACGTCGTTTTTACATGACATCAATAACACGTATTCTAATATACATATACAATATACATTATACATTATACATTATACATTATACATTATACATTATACATTATACATTATACATTATACATTATACATTATTCTAATATACATTAAACTTGGTGCTTGGTGCTGCAGTCTTTGCAATTCGTGATTCTGATTAAGAAGGGGGGCTGTAGAAGCTCTAATTTGATCGGATTTTCACAGAAGTGATTTTAGGTACGATCATGTCTACGGTTAAGGCTAGTTTTGGCTGGAGGCTGTGGGACCTATACCCCACAACCCACATTCCTTCACCGCCCACCCTAAATACCCCACTAACTGTGTTTGTGCAGGTTGGTGGTACATATCCTGGTCAGGTGGTATCGGGTGGGTTCCAGCTAACTACCTGCGTCCTCTGGATGGTGGAGTGCCCGACATGATAGCCTGTCAAGCAGGTACGTTTAGTGCATAGGTGCAGATTTCGTTTTGAGGTGAACTTTTAAGTTCCCGAGAAATTTTCATAAGTTTGCTTTTTTTTCCTCCTCGGGCACATTCGTAACCTACGGGCCAGGTAAACCTAAACTACATATTGACAGTTATGTACGTCGGTATCTGTTGAGGAGCCAAATCATCTGAAAAGCCCTTAACCTATATTTTGCTCAGGCACGTAGCCAGGATTTTCCTTGGGGGGGGGGGGCTGTCGGCGAGCGAAGCTGCAAGCTGTGGCAGGGGTCTGGGGGCGCGGCCCCCAGCGGGGTCCAGGTAAGGGGCGGACCACATTGGCGGGGGCTAGGGGGGCGCAGCCCCCCGGAAAATTTTTGCGAAATAGGGTGTTTTAGGCTAAATTGAAAGTTTAATGAATTTACAAAAATGTATGGTTTGGCATAATCATTGCCTACAATCCTGACCTGAGTAATTTACCCCTTTGAGACTTTATTTTGGGCTGAAAATTAAGTTTATCGAGAGGAAGTGAAAAATCTCTGGTTCAAATTTGGATTTGAACTTTGAAGCCATGTTTAATTTTTTCTGTTGAGGTCAATTTTTTGCGCAGAAAGCGTTCGATTTTAGGGGAAAAAATTTATGTTTGCTTTTAATTTTTATGGTGCCGACGGCACCTGAAATCGACGAAATCTGCAGGGGTGCTTTAGTGTTGTTGGAGAGTTCAGTAAAACTTCAGTTTAATTAATGAGCGTGGATTATACAGTAAAACCCCGATTTATCGTGCCCCGATTTACTGTGCTCCCATTTACCGCGCCCCAATTTACCGCGCCCCGATTTACCGCGCCCTGATTTACCGTGCACCGATTTACCGCACCCCGATTTGCTGCTGCTCTTTTCTTTCTCCCAAACCCGCGGTAAATCGGGCTTTTACTGTAGTAGGGTAATCACACTGTATATCGTCATACACTGTCTATCAATATATCGTCTATATCAAAATTTGTATGATACACAGTTAATTTTTAATATTAATACTTATAAGTTATACTCTCTAATTATACTCTGAAACAGGTTTGTTTTGACATGGGACTGCAATTTTGGCTTATTGGGACTTGACTGATTGATTCTGCAAGATAACAATCTAATTGGTCCATCTTCTTAAAAAAAAACTTGCACGACATCCCATCTTTTACCCACGTCTATTCGGTATTATGTTGGTATTGTGTTTATAATCGAGTTTGGTTCAGTTTAGACTATTCAGACCATGAAGTCTCAATTTCTGACCTGTTCACCGTTGAATTGGTCTCCGGATGCTTACGTAATGTCTACACAAACTGTAGTAATGTTTGACACTTCAGTATAAGTTGCCTAGGTAAACAAAGCTATGAAAACATTGCACGTAAATTGTGTAGTGACATGACAGGTTTCTATCATTGTTTTACATATTATAGGTCTAAACATTAAATCGTTGGTTATTTCAGCTTCTTTAACTAAGTAAAGAAAAATAAATTGAAACTTTTTGAAAAAAATATAGATCGAATTGGTCTGCAATCTCTTATCTTGATTTTTTTGACTTCTGAAGGGTTACCGTAATAAATTCTACAAATATAAATATTTTAACGTACGTGCGGCTCGCAAATCGCATACAAAATCGCATACACATTTCAGGGAAACGTCTTCTGTCTTGATTGGTGAAAAGAAGAAGCAACTTGAATTGATGTGACCTTGCGAACTGGTTACTTGTTATGGCTACTTTACGTAACACGCGAAGACATTGGAGAAGCATCGCGCACGCGCGTTTTCCCGGAACCACATGGTGTGCATGACCGCCGCTTGCAGTTTGGCCGCAACCAGAAAATAGAGTGCAACCTAGCTCAGTGGCTGAACTAACCGTCAGTTACAGCTTCATTTAACGGGTGATACTCGTAAAATATTTGTTTCAAGACCGTCGACGAGTCCAACTCGGTGCGCGTCTTGGTATGTCATAAACCTACAACAGTTTAATTTGTTTCAAGTAGGTATATAGTACTGGAGTTCAGAGTTACTCAAAGTGATACACCCGTTTTACAATATAAAGGTGGTTAATTTTGGCGAAGGCTTCAGTATCTTTAATTTTGTCCACTTTAAGGGCTTCACCATATTCAACGTGCAAGAATCCTAAGTTTACATTACAAACTTCAGTAATCAATATAAATGAGCAAAATTAAGTGTACGAAAGTCAGTTAAGACAACTCTCTTATCAATTTGACCAACAATTGTCATAATGAGAACAATATGAAACATCCGATATATTTTGAGACCTGTCTTTAATTTTGTTCACTTGAAGGCTTCATCCTTGATCGTCTTTATAAACAGGGCATCTTTATAAAATATACAGAGTGCAACTTCGTTACTAGTACGCATCTGAGCTGTTGTCAGGGAGACCTCTGGGGACTAGGATGTTATAACCAAAAGTAATCGCAGTTTTATGAGAACAACCGAAAACATAGTCGGTGCAATTACAAAACTAATCGCGCTGATTTTCTGCAATGATAACATCGTGTTCCGCAATTTGCTGCCCATACGCTAACATACGTTTACATTAGTTGCAAGAGCGTTATAATATAGCTGATTCATAGTGTCAATAAAGAGCCACACGCTGGGGCTATGAGGGCAGGGCCGGGGTATCCCTCGAAATGTTAGGTGTGAGTCACAAGAACGAATCAGATGCTGAACACGTTCCAACGTATTCACTGCTCTGAGACTCTATGAGGCTTAGTGCAACCAGTCGCTGATTTTTCTTTTGTTATGGGCCCGATATGGAAGTTGATTGTTTGTTGCCATGTTGTGTTAAATGGAAATATCGTCCCAAGAATCAAATCGACCTGATAATGGCCGACTGAGCGTTTCACAACGATTGATGAGAGCTCAGTTGTGCATGTGTTTGTAACCAGATACAGGATTATATCAGTATTTTTATGCGATACTACCCTTCTTCATTTCAGGTAGCTTCTATCAGTGTGTTTCTAATTTTAAAGCTTCTAGTCGAGATGAAGTATCGTTCTCCAAAGGTAAAATATTTACAAAAATGTATAAAACATCACTTGAAAATTCTTTTTTTTTAAGAGCACGTTATTATCTACACACAAAAATAATAAAATAAATCCCCTTCGAAAACCACAAAATACACAAATTTACGATTGAACTTGCTATCTAACCTGTACCCTTGTTAACACTGGATTGCACAGGTGAGATAACAACAGTGGAACTTATGTCTCACGACGGATGGTGGTACATTACCGTCGGTGGAAAGAAAGGGCTTGGTCCCGCCCAGTTTCTTAAAAAGGTATCTCAGAGATAGGAGGCTAGCTTCAAGTATTTTTAGAGTGCTCATCTTTTGGCGTTTTTTCCTTCTATGCATGATAGTCGTGTAACTTTTCAGAGTTTTTCTTGACTGTGAGATGTGAGTCCTAGAAAAATAGCAGTATAGTTGTTTAAACTTAATAACTTTATCGTACCAGGTAGAGGGAGATCTTCTGCTAGAAGATCTGATAGAAAACCCTCCTGCTCTTGATCCAGAACAGACATCAAAAGCTAGTAGGTTCTTAGTAGGTTCTATCTCTCCCTGAAAACGAATTCTCTGTGTTTTCTGTTTCTCTTGGTTAAGCCATGATAAATTCAAGAATAAACATACCCCAAAATTTCAACACCAGATGCGAGCAGCTTGGTACCACGGTCTAACCAGCACAAGAGAACGTCAACCAGACGTGTTAGGAAGAGCATGCGCTCTAAACGGCCTGCTCCTAGTAAGTACAGTTCTTATTTAGTAAGTACAGTTCTTATTTAGTACTAGTTAGGAAGAGCATGCGCTCTAAACGACCTGCTTCTAGTAAGTACAGTTCTTATTTAGTACTATTTAGGAAGAGCATGCGCTCTAAACTACCTGCTCCTAGTAAGTACAGTTCTTATTTAGTACTATTTAGGAAGAGCATGCGCTCTAAACGACCTGCTTCTAGTAAGTACAGTTCTTATTTAGTAAGTACAGTTCTTATTTAGTACTAGTTAGGAAGAGCATGCGCTCTAAACGACCTGCTCCTAGTAAGTACAGTTCTTATTTAGTACTATTTAGGAAGAGCATGCGCTCTAAACGACCTGCTTCTAGTAAGTACAGTTCTTATTTAGTACTAGTTAGGAAGAGCATGCGCTCTAAACGACCTGCTTCTAGTAAGTACAGTTCTTATTTAGTACTAGTTAGGAAGAGCATGCGCTCTAAACGACCTGCTCCTAGTAAGTACAGTTCTTATTTAGTACTAGTTAGGAAGAGCATGCGCTCTAAACGACCTGCTCCTAGTAAGTACAGTTCTTATTTAGTACTAGTTAGGAAGAGCATGCGCTCTAAACGACCTGCTCCTAGTAAGTACAGTTCTTATTTAGTACTATTTAGGAAGAGCATGCGCTCTAAACTACCTGCTCCTAGTAAGTACAGTTCTTATTTAGTACTATTTAGGAAGAGCATGCGCTCTAAACGACCTGCTTCTAGTAAGTACAGTTCTTATTTAGTAAGTACAGTTCTTATTTAGTACTAGTTAGGAAGAGCATGCGCTCTAAACGACCTGCTCCTAGTAAGTACAGTTCTTATTTAGTACTATTTAGGAAGAGCATGCGCTCTAAACGACCTGCTTCTAGTAAGTACAGTTCTTATTTAGTACTAGTTAGGAAGAGCATGCGCTCTAAACGACCTGCTTCTAGTAAGTACAGTTCTTATTTAGTACTAGTTAGGAAGAGCATGCGCTCTAAACGACCTGCTCCTAGTAAGTACAGTTCTTATTTAGTACTAGTTAGGAAGAGCATGCGCTCTAAACGACCTGCTCCTAGTAAGTACAGTTCTTATTTAGTACTAGCTAGGAAGAGCATGCGCTCTAAACGACCTGCTTCTAGTAAGTACAGTTCTTATTTAGTACTAGTTAGGAAGAGCATGCGCTCTAAACGACCTGCTCCTAGTAAGTACAGTTCTTATTTAGTACTAGTTAGGAAGAGCATGCGCTCTAAACGACCTGCTCCTAGTAAGTACAGTTCTTATTTAGTACTGAGCTGGAAGTTTAATTTCCTATTGAGGACTTTTTGTTTTGTTTTATCATTTTCCGTCTGGGACTTCAATAATGACCGGCAACTGATAACTGTTATCTCTCAAGTAAATGGTGTCTTGATATCAGGGAGGGATAAAGTGCAAAAACAATTAAAATACTCCCAAGCCATATACGTCATGGGGATTGGGGACAGATCAAGACAAATTCGGGTGAAAATTCTTATTTCTCTGATTAAGAGGATAGAAATATAATCAGAAGAGAGCTTATCGCTTTGAGCCTAATTATACAATATACAAGTATCCGTTAAATTAAGTTTTCCCCCTCTTTAGCCACTAAATCGAATTTTCCTCGATGAAGAACGAACCCAATTTTATTCAATTTCCTGAACTTTTACTTTCATATTTTGCATCGTTCGATTATGGTTAGGCAACGTACTATTAGGCTCAAACAAGTTCTCAACGGTATAAAAGAAGCAGTGTCCAAAGAATTCGTATAATTGCACTGTATTATTGAAGTACGGTCTCCTTTTTTGTGTGTTAAGAGAAACACTTTGCTACTTTTCTATAACTTTCCCTAACACTTGACATCTGTAAATTAAATTCTCTGTACGGTTATCTATTCGCGATAAATGATTTATGTTATACTTAATTGTTTCAACATTGATTTACTTAATAATATACATAATATCTAGATTGACTAAAATGTCTCAACTATTCGTGGTGCTAGGACTACTGACTGTTTCACTTCTCAAACTTGTTGAAGCGCACCGGTACAAGTCTCCAAAGTACAGGCAACATTTCAGCATAGAAGAAGAGGCACAAGGGAATTTTACCCGTGAAGAGGCGGATGGCTACAAGGAATGCGAGGAGTACCTGACTGATCCAGATAACGAAGATCTTTACGAAAACGCTGCAAACGAAACTAATACTGCTCCTAATGGACAGCATCATCTGCTGAAGCGTCACAAACCGAAGCCGGTTGAACAAATTTGCAACAAGAAGGAGTGCCCGGTGTTTGAGAAACTCGAGTCTTCAGGATGCGGGTATGAAACGAGACTGCTTGCACGTGCAAACTGGACCGTTACAACGGTCGACCTGGACAGACCAGAGGGGTTAAGAGAGGCGTACATTCGCCTGTACCGCTACAGCAGTGGAGCTAACAACGATCGTGGAGAAAAGATGTCCTTCCTCTCACCCGTCGTCGAGACATACTGGCTCGACCAGAACTCCAAAGTTGTGAACGCTGTAATGTCCGTTTACATTCCTCAACAGTTCCAGAACAACCCTCCGGCATCCACTACCAAGAAAGTGTGGGTCAGTGAATATCCTGACTATAAAATCTACTCCCGGGCGTTTGGAGGTTACAGGGAGGATCCTGAGTACTTCAACCAGTTCGCCTTACTGAAATCATCACTGGAACGGGATAACATTACTCCATTTCCTCACGCGAGACTAACTGGCGGATGGACTCATCATGGGTTCGGGAGGCAGCGCATGGAAGTCGTTCTGGTGGACGACGCCTATATGTGATGCACAGTTTGGGTTCATGTTAAGAAACTTGCTCTTAATTTAAATAATTCTGATCTTACCACGTGTTGTTTTCTATGACATTCCTTTTCATATTGATTAGGAGGGATTGGCTCAAATAACTCAGCGGACATTTATATTTTTTCCTTTTGGATGCATAATTTTATAAATAATTATGTCGTTTTCTTTCTTGAGTCACTTGTCAAGTTTTCAAAATCAAAGCTAAATATATCTATACATATATTTTTAAATTGACAAAATCTCCCTGGCAACGTCATAAGTTGTTGAAAAAGGTTCCCAATGTGTTCCATTTTCGTCCCATCTTGGCTTTCTCTGGAATTCTAGCTTCTAGTACCTCAATTATGTATTGTGCTACTCACAGCTACCTCACTAACTGGTCACTGTACAGAAATTGTGTAAAAACTGTGAAATTTCGGTCCAATGAAGTTCATTTAATAGATTTATTATAAAGCACTTACTATATCTCACATCCTATTTATAGGAACAGTTATAACTGTTCATAACTTGTTGTAATCAATATTCTCGGATGTATTAAATGGTAGGGATAGGGAGTACTTATAGAACTTTGCACAATTTAAGCTCATAGTTGTCAGTGGTGCTGTACGAGGAAAATTGAAAAGAACTTGAACTTGAAATAACTGAATTAATTAAAATCCTTTGATATATTATGTCCGTTTTTACCAGCTGGTTTCTAGTAGTAGTACGTACATAAACATGTAGTGTATACATTATACATGTAGTGTATACATTATACATGTAGTGTATACATTATACATGTAGTATATACATTATACATGTAGTGTATACATTATACATGTAGTGTATACATTATACATAATGCACATACTATCCGTGTGATATACAAAATCATGAAATCTTTGTATTGGGATACACCTCTGTAATAGTTCCTGTATCACGTGATCACCGTTCGTGTTTTTGCACGACAACTAAACTAATAACTAAACTTCCAGCATTCTCAAAAGTAAATTCCTATTTGCAGACGCTGCCAACATTCCCGCTGCAATCCCCGAAGGTGACGAGATGGTTGTTCTGGAGGAATACCAGGTATTAGCTGGGAAACTGTTTGTGTCCATTCATCGTTACTATGGTTTGCGATAATATTTTGCAAATAGTGCAGGTGGATTTTTTTTATATGCGGAAAATTTGGATACAAAAAAACCGCAATTAAGCTGAACGATTCTCAGAATTTGCAGCATTTCGGCAATTTCAGGTTGGATTAGTCAACAGCGTAGTATATGATGCTGCCTTACACTATCGTTGAGATTAACACAACAATTAACTTTCACTAGGTTAATATCATACACTGAGTTTCCTGACAATTTAAGATGTACAAATCTAGAATTAACCTCGTAGAAGTTTTTGCGATTAGATAATAGATTGCCAGGATAACTGGGGTTAGTTGAGCTGGTCGTGATCGAGGCAGGATATTCCTGATGTAACTTTACAATATTTTAACTTTACAACACATTGTGTGTATAACTATAAGCTAAATTTTTCTAGTTTACACTTGTTCAATGATCAGAGGAGACTTGAGGAATTTAGGGACAGCAATCTTACACAAATATTTAAAGATAGCGCTCAAACCGTGGTTCAAGCCAGCTAATAGACAAACAATGAACTGACAAATTCCTAAAATACCAACAGTTGTCAAGTGTCAACTTTGTTTTAAAGCTTTAAGAACAATTTAAACGTCTATATAGAATAGAATTCCATAGACTTTCACAAAAAAACTATCCGGCGCGGAGGGGATTTATCTTTTTGAACATCAATCATTCGGCAGTCAACACCAGTCAGTATTTCTCGGTAATGTTTTCGATGTTGCAAATCGTTTATGGGACGAATGCTGAGTAATTATCTCGAAAAACATTCAAGGCAAATTATTGTTGTGGGCTGCAAAAATTTGAAGTCACTTCGAATACCATTTGTACAATCATCCTTTTTATAGCTAACATCAGGTCACAGTTCTTGGCAGTTTTCGGGTAAATTTCTTCAAAGCTCAAAAATTGCATTATTTGGTTGTTGTACCTTCTCATCTGTCAGTAGCTTGCTGTTGAACTGGCCTTCTGGTAACAGTTTGTATGCAGCACAAGTACTCTCACCCACATGAAATATAATCGGTAGATCAATTGGGCGCTAGGTAGCTGGCACTTTTCGATAACCTTATCAATTCATCTATTGACCAGGTTTTAATGGTTTCTACTTCTCTGATAGGCTCTTCTTTGTCAGCAATTGTACGATTTTAGTGATCCTCGAATTAATGTGTTTCACCTGTATTTAACCTGTGTTTCACCTGTATTTAACCTGTGTTTCACCTGTGTTTAACATGTATTTAACCTGTGTTTCACCTGTATTTAACCTGTGTTTCACCTGTATTTAACCTGTGTTTCACCTGTATTTAACCTGTGTTTCACCTGTATTTAACCTATGTTTCACCTGTATTTAACCTGTGTTTCACCTGTATTTCACCTGTATTTCACCTGTATTTAACCTGTGTTTCACCTGTATTTCACCTGTGTTTAACCTGTGTTTCACCTGTATTTAACCTGTGTTTTACCTGTATTTAACCTGTGTTTCACCTGTATTTAACCTGTGTTTCACCTGTATTTAACCTGTGTTTCACCTGTATTTAACCTGTGTTTCACATGTATTTAACCTGTGTTTCACCTGTATTTCACCTGTATTTAACCTGTGTTTCACCTGTATTTCACATGTGTTTCACATGTGTTTCACCTGTATTTCACATGTATTTCACCTGTATTTAACCTGTGTTTCACCTGTATTTAACCTGTGTTTCACCTGTATTTCACCTGTGTTTAACCTGTGTTTCACCTGTATTTAACCTGTGTTTCACCTGTATTTAACCTGTGTTTCACCTGTATTTAACCTGTGTTTCACCTGTATTTAACCTGTGTTTCACCTGTATTTCACCTGTATAGCACCTGTATTTAACCTGTGTTTCACCTGTATTTAAACTGTGTTTCACCTGTATTTAACCTGTGTTTCACCTGTATTTAACCTGTGTTTCACCTGTGTTTAACCTGTGTTTCACCTGTATTTAACCTGTGTTTCACCTGTATTTCACCTGTGTTTCACCTGTATTTAACCTGTGTTTCACCTGTATTTCACCTGTATTTCACCTGTGTTTCGCCTGTATTTCACATGTGTTTCACATGTGTTTCACCTGTATTTCACATGTATTTCACCTGTATTTAACCTGTGTTTCACCTGTATTTAACCTGTGTTTCACCTGTATTTAACCTGTGTTTCACCTGTATTTAACCTGTGTTTCACCTGTATTTAACCTGTGTTTCACCTGTATTTAACCTGTGTTTCACCTGTATTTAACCTGTGTTTCACCTGTATTTAACCTGTGTTTAACCTGTATTTAACCTGTGTTTTACCTGTATTTCACCTGTGTTTCACCTGTATTTAACCTGTGTTTCACCTGTTTTTCACCTGTATTTGACCTGTGTTTCACCTTTATTTCACCTTTATTTCACCTGTGTTTACTGTTTAATACCCAGGCGTCAGGAGTTGGTCAGATGTCTCTGTCAGTTGGAGACAGGGTTATAGTCACTAATCAGGAAAAGGATGAATGGTGGTATGTTTGGAAAGACACTAAGCAGGTAATTATAATAATCTTTCTTCTGTGATTGATTAATTAACGTCTTATTTGATAATACCGAATCACCGATTAAATATTTTAAAATGTTGACACAAGTGCAAGTGTGATCAACCGGAACCACATCTAATATGTTCGATAAATTTTAGAAAAGTCAATAGACATTAGACATAGAACACTGATATAATTGAAAATAAAAAATGAGGGAATATTGAGGCGGGCGCCCCTCTGCAGTCTGCAGGCGGGGTTGCTACGTCAAAAAGTGTAACTGTAATTAACAGTTTACAGTGTTAGTGTTGAGCCGTTAACCAATAGTATATTATTATTATAGATTTATAGTAACATATCAACATTGTCAATTAGTTCAAGGACGATGTGTTCATGAGGTGATGTGTATTCACTGATTCGCATTTTCGAATCGATTATATGATTATGAGACAGTACTACAGTAGTATACTTGATTGAAATTCAGAAAGACGATTTTATTCATAACTTACTCACTTTAACGTTTAAGGTTACGCCATATAAATTTAATATTAAAAACTCCTGTAAGCATACCTGTAAAATTGCTTGACCTAAATATTTAAATAACAAATATTTTCTTCTCAGGGGTGGTTTCCAGCTGCGTTTCTCATGGACGAGAATGAGATTAAAAAACCTGAAAGTTTTAAGGTTATATCCGATTACAAGGCTGCCAGTGCGCAAGAGTTGGCAGCCAAAAAAGGACAGGTAAAAAACATTTACTTGAACACACTTTCTAATATTACTTATTTAAATCATTATTAATAGTAATAATACCTACTTTAATACGCTAAATTTTAATAATCTTCGTTAATTGGCACGTAAATTTCACTACGCACTACGCAGGGAACGTGGATGTGATACAAAGATATTTTGAAACGTGATTTTTCATCTGTCTTGCTTTATTGACGATACCTTCCGAAAATTTGGGCAGCAAAAAATTTGGACAGAACTCTCGCCCAAGTGACGCCAAAATTTTCAGTGTCCCAATCATTTTGTCGAGCAAAATCTCTAGCTTTAATTTTCTTTCTCTCGTTCAAGATCGACTCTTGAATTAACAACAGACTTCCAATCTCAATTTTATGGGCAAGTTAGCTCCCAAAGAGATCGATTAATTGAGATTTAATGAGGTATAATTTAGAGACGATTAATTGATGATGCGATTCATGGATTTAAGTTAATTGACTAAGACATGGACTAGTCTAATGATGTCACTGCTACACCTTGTCAGACTACTCCATATCATTTTGAAGGCAGACAACCATTATGCTGACTTGGCTGCCCCGAACTCCTCACGTCGCTCATGAGGAAGGCATAAAGTCTAAACAGGACTACCTCATCGGCCATGACAGGCAGTGTTGTGGCCTACCTTCCTTGAACTCAACAGTGCTGGCAAAGATTCAAATTGAAATTGCTTTGTTTGAGAAGCTCAATTGATACTCGGTAGATTACTGGCGTCCGGTAGTATTGTTTATACTTGTAGATTTAATGGCACCCGCTATTGGCACCTGCTATTGTTTGGCACCCGCCATTGTTTATACTTGCCCCTGTTAAATAACTGCAGACCAGAGGAGACTTGAGGAATCTAGGGACAGCAGTCTTCACGCCAAACGTCTTCACCGCAAACAATGAGCTGACAAATTCCTGAGATACCAACAGTAGAAAACTATAAGAACAATAGACTTCCGGAGACCATTTGACCGTATCCTCTTCAGGACCAATCTCCTCTGCAGCGCCAGTCAGCATTTCTTGATAATGTTTTCATAGATGCCACTTTTCTTTGTGGTCTGGCAGCTAATTTTTCTTGTCTTACTTTATTGATACCTGTTTGACAAATTTGGGGGGCACTCTCGCCCATACTTATCGTAAACGTTATTCGACACCCACATTTTTGGTGGACTAACACCCGCCCAACAATTTTGCCGACCAAAATCTCTGGATCTTGGTTTTCTTTGAATTTTGAGCATGAGATGATTCTCGTCCAATATTGACAATTGGATTAGTACATACTTCCTATCACCATTTTTGGGAAAATTGGGTGCTATTTTGTGGGGTAAAAGTTGAATATACTTTTACTTACTAATATATTATGTATCTAGTCACCAATTCTTATAAAGTTTTCTATAAAATTCATTACAGGCTCCGTGTAAATCGAATAACAAAAACACTCTATTAATATAAAAGAATATTCGTGCCCCAACATAATGTTGTAACAATTTTTGCGGATTACGGTAGTTGACAAATTTTATTTATCAAAACACTGCAACAATTAGTTGGTCGTTCCATGACAATTGAACGATAAAATAACTGACTAACAATTTTTGATAAATCATCCCTTCGACAGACTGTTCTGATCACCGACCAGACATCAAACGGTGACTGGTGGTATGGTAGTGTAGGTAAGAAGGAAGGATGGATACCTTCTTCTTTCCTCCAGAAGATCAAATAAAGGTAAACTACCACGACAGTTGACCACGACATATTGATACTAGTGGGAGTGAGACACGACCTTATCACAACACTGCCGCCATTGACTTTATTATGACAATTGACATATGACCCATATCCGACACTTGAAATTTAATAACATATTTTTGATTCTTTGACTGACGGGGATCTTGTATTTTGAAATATCAATTTTTGTAAATTTTACTCCGCGAAATAGTTATTTGAAGTATTCAATTTAGAAAAATCAATTTTATAAGACATATGAATTAATTCGAAGCTAACTTTCCTTCGTATCTGTAAAATCTTTCATGGAATTGTTCGTTACGTGTTGGCTAACCAGTTAATGAGATTTTGAGGATCTACAAATTAAAAATGAATTCAGATAGCGTATGTGATAACAATACACTAATACAGTATCCTGCTATCATTAATACCGATGTTTTCGTGTCCAACCTCATATTATTTGTTCAATGAGGTGTTTAAAACGATATTTCACTGTGAGTTTATTAAAACCGAATCTTGAGTTAATAGTACTGTTAATTTCATTTGTTCACCACTACACACTAGCCCTTCCCGATAGATTTAAGCACCCTCATTACAGAAGATATTAACCGATAATGAGGTGATACACTCAAATTAAAAGTAGTCGGTTCACCTTATAAACCAGCTTCCGATAGTTACTTCTCAAACCTAACGAGAAACGTGCGCTAAAAATCAAACAATATAAATTTCTGCGCCCAAGCTTAAAGAGCCGGAACAGTAAAAGTAGCCGCAGTTGTCCTGACCATTACATCGAAGCAGACAGTAAGCCGTATTGCTCTAATCTAGTGGTTAATTACCGTGCTCTGTTTCTGGACGCTGCGATGTGGTCCTCATTGTTCTATCTTCGTGTTATCCATGTCACTTTTCATCTTGATTCTGATATGATTGTTCTAATATAACAGATTAATATATGTGTAGTCAATAATTATGTACTTAATATATATATATCACATATATATATAATATATATCATTTATCTATACTTTAAGAGGCAGTAAAACTAGCGGGCTGCGATGAATGGGACTCTCAAGTCTCAACCCCATGACACCCCATCTTGCTTATTCAGTCATCATGCGAAAAGTACTGAGTTATTTCCATTAAAGTCGAACTATTGTTAATGGTCATTGGAGGTGCGCTGATCGTTGATTTTATTTATTCGTTAAGATCGAAATCCCAAGTGGAGTGTGGACCAGTCTCTATTTCTTATCCGTTGCTGTAACTGGAGCTCACCTCGAAAACTGAAATCCGCTTTTTTATCAAGATTGTCATTTTGTCTACATAAAGTATGCGGTTCTTTTGCGATAGTCGAAATGCGATAGCTAGCGCTGTTTTAGCGACAGTAAGCGCTAGTTACCGCTAGCTATCGCATTCAGACTATCGCAAAAGAACCAAGTATGTTATTGCTATTAACATATTATACAGGGTGTTTCATAAGGATGATGATTCATCACTCTACACTCGACTGTCACGTGACTTTTTCAACCCGTTCTCTAGCTGGTCTTGAACGACTATTCGAAACCCTAACCCTCTAATCTGATCCCAACCCTAACCCAATCCTTAACAAAAGCATATGCTGAAACCCTAACCCTAATGAGAAATTAGACTAACTTCCTTATACGGTCATATCACGTGATCGAGACAGTTTTTCGCCAATATCTCGTCAGGGGAGCATTTTAACCCTATGTCATGAGGGGTGATTCGGAATCAGCGTCCGAAAATACATCGATTGAAGTTGGTTTCTACTGTCGGGGGCTCTTCTAGAACAATCTCGAAGATCGACTGTAGAGTGATTTAGCACGCTCGGTTTCATAAATAGTGTCCTGTTTTTGATGTATGTATTATACATATTAATAGTAATACTGTGCAATAGAAACGACAAACGTGGCGCCCTTTAAAGCTTTAAGCTTTAACTGTTACCTGTATTAATAGCACTATAGAAACACTCAGTCCCTTTATATTAGTCCCAAAACGTCGAGAGAGAAAAGTTCGAATTTTGCTATTAAATTGTTACGATAAATTAACAAGATATAGGAGAGTTTGCTCCACAGCATTTTACATTTACCCATTTAAGTAATGTGTAAGTAATTGAAATTCAATGACTTACACATAATATTAATATTAATTTGTCGCAAAATGTTTTTACTCCTTTGTGTTCGTGGTAACGTTTGAATTTAAAATTTCAATGAGGCCCCCTTCAAAAGTTTAAATAATGCCCACAGTTTGATCAGTTTGAGGAACCAAATACATGAGTATTCCCACTAGCTAGTGTTCAGCGACCAGCGTTGAATGTTGAGGAAGTTGTTGCCGGTTCGCTTACATATTCTGAAGTTAATTGCCGTCATCTTCCACTTAAATCTATTTGATTATTGCTTTGTTTGTTTGTTTACCTTAGTGATATTTTATTAACCAGCTGATGTTGTGGACGATAGACTGATTTGAGGGGAACATTTTACATAATAATTTAAAGTGGTAGCAACTAGCAGTGTCGGATTAAAATCGGTGGTCCATCTCAAAAAATAGTCGCAATTCTTGTTCCACAGTTACTATATGCTAAATCAATTTAAAATCGAACCAACCCAATTAGTTCGTCCATTCATTAAATAACCTTACTCTAATCTCATTAAGATTTTGTATTTTTAGGCCACACATCAGGTTTTGTTCTGAGCAAGCTTAGTGGCCCCAGGGAGCAATTATAACCACTTGTTCTCATGATCACACGTGTACTGCGCCCACGTGCACTAAGCACACGTGCACCATATTTACACCCAGCAATCTACCCACGTCACGCAGCACCTAGAATCTAGATCGAAGTCATGTCACTTTAGTGCCCTAACTACCCGCCTTAACTTTCACATTACTACCTCTGTCCAGCCTATAAGTAGAAATGTAATTACCTCTCTGACATGTCATTGGGTCACTGTTATACAGTCGACAAGGTTCTGTGAGGGATTTCTCTGCAGCGTGATCACCCGGCACATCACTCCGGGTTGTTGGGCTTTACTTTGAAGTTCTAGTTTTATTGTTTCTTCTTATTGAGTTATATTGGTCGGTGCCGACTGTAAGCTTGCCTGGGTCATACTTGATTGACGTTGTCAACCCTTCCAGATCGTTGCGAAGCAAGAATGCTAGTTTGCGCGGCGCGTCGAAGCGGCGAAGTCCTCCAAGGGTCATACATCCGATGGCACTGTCGCGGCACTCTGATCGTGGCACCCTCGTGGTACTGTCGTGGCGCTATGGCGGCACTCTGGAGGCATAGTGCCAACTTTCAATCATGTTCGTTCAAAAGCATAAGACAATCATTATAAATATACCTTCATTGTTATCTTTTCACAATAACCACGGTGTCATAAAAGCATTACCCTTTATTTACTAGCCTTGTCGAAGCCAATTGTGATTTACAATCCTGATCTGGTGACGTGTCACATGCTATCAGCTTATTGGCGTTGCGATAACATTCCTGCAGGATACACTTAGGTATCACATAGCAATAACGAGTCCCACGTCACAGAAGATTAAACTTCTGTTTTATAGTTTTTAGTCGGGCTTTACTTCTACATTTATTATAGTTTATAGTCGTAAACTATCGTGTTACACTTCTAGTTTTATTGTTTATAGCTCAATTACTTCTAGATCTATTGTTTACAGATCGGGTCATAACATTTGCTGACACAAACAAAAGGCGGAAGAATATATCGATATTTAATAATCGTATCGATGCTAACTATTAAACTAAGCAATCGCACACACTGCACTAGCCTCATGAGGCACTTTACAAGTGAACCGATAGAACCCATGAGCACTCGTCTCTGTGACCCCATATTTACTACATATTCTCGATTAGTTTCAGTAGTTTGCTTCCGCGCCCTATCAACGAAGAAGCTTACAAATGATAATGTATATTGATGGTGAACTGTCCGATTTATGTTTAACCGTTACTTTGTGTATTACTATTACTATTAGGGATCGTTGTTTTAATTCTGAGTTTTATACTAAACATTTGCCTTCTGATGTCAGGATTTGCCAATATGGAAGGATTTGCCAATATGTCAGGATTTGCCAATATGGAAAGATTTGCCAATATGCCAGGATTTGCCAATATGGAAAGATTTGCCAATATGGAAGCGGACGGTTTCCGTGATTTGACGTGTGAATACTGTCAGAAGGTACTACCCGATATTACCCGTCTCCGCCGTCACAACTCAGCCCACAAGCAGGTAAGATACGTTGTTTTACTGTATTTATTTAAAGTTATCAATGTCCTACATAGCGGAACAAGGAATGTGTAGTGGGTAAGGGCTAAGCGGGATGGATAGGGATGAGCATATATCACAGCCCCGAATAGCTGGCCGCAAAAACTTGAAATTACAATTAAAATAACATTTTAGTTGTATCATAAGCTCGAGATTTTGCAGCCGTGGCGTAGCTGTTGAATTTACCGTTTACTTTTAGAAGCTTAAGATAATTCGTTTACAAACGTATTATAATTAACTATATGAATACGTCTCGTTTCTGAATAACGTGGGCGAAATTTGTGAATAATATTTGTTTTATCGCAGGCGTATAAAAGACAACATGGAACCGCCAAGATAAGAAGAGGGATTCTGAAAACTACAACTCCAGGTAATTTTAATTCTATTACATAAGTAATTATTCTAAAATCCAGCGATAAAATAAGTATACGAGCAATGTCGTAGATCTGAAGGGGGCGCAACTGTCAATAGGCCAAAACACGTTGCAAAAGTTGTGCAGTTGTTCTTGGGCCGTCTTTGGGGCAGTGTGATAGACAAGAAGAATACAAACAGTACATACAATAATAATATGTGATTCTACAAACAGTACATACAATAATAATATGTGATTCTACAAACAGTACATACAATAATAGTATGTGATTCTACAAACAGTACATACAATTTGACCAAAACCCATAATCATGGGTAGAGTGTACCGCTGCCAGTGTCTCTCTTTTCCAAACAAAAGGAAATGATATTAATTTGAGGAACCGTCCGCTAATGCAAAATGATACCGAGAATGAAATCGGTCGCTCGCTTTTCCCATTCATTCACGGCTTACGAATTGTAATAAAGCTTATTAAATGGGAAAAGCGAGCGACCGATTTCATTCTCGGTATCATTTTGCATTAGCGGACGGTTCCTCAAATTAATATCATTTCCTTTTGTTTGGAAAAGAGAGACACTGGCAGCGGTACACTCTACCCATGATTATGGGTTTTGGTCAAATATCATCTCTTTTTGATTATAATGTCAGGATAATTTACACAGTCGAAACTTCATTAACATAATTATAAATAAGGAGATAATTTCAACGATTTCGATATTCTGCCTTTGAAAACTTTTCCTTGTGTTTAGGTAGGTATATCTGTCGATAACCGACTGAATATGGCACTTTTTACTCATTTAGGTTGGCATTAAATTCATATATAATGCCATTTAAATATCGTGGAAAGCAGAATATATTCGAAATCACGAATGAGCAAAATTCTCACCTTTCGCACGTGCAAACTTTGAGCGGACGTTGCGTGCGCATACAATATTGAATCACCGTAAATTTTTGCATAGTGGTATTTAATATATAGTTTGATAAGCATGCAAAGTTTCAGAAGATTTCAAAAAGAACTTGGATCACTACGGGACTCCAAAGTTGAAAAAAATCGTGAAAATAACAATTTTTAGTGATTTTAGCTATTTTAAATCAATTTGGGCGTGTCCCCACGTGTGCAACTTTTCGATTTTCAACTTTAAAACTAGCCTATAACACAATTTAGACCTTTAAGAAGCAAAATTGAGCTCCACAACCCAAGGGATGGCCCAACACCAGAGAATACTAATTCACAACTTTTGTGTTTTTATAAAATTATTCTTCAAAAAAGCACTAACTTCAATAGCAAATATCTTTATGAAGGAGCAAGGTAGGAAACTTTTCCCGTAGATTTTCGGAATGCTTGAACAATTATCTAAGGTGAAAATGTCCTCAGATTTTGAATAAAATTACTCCTTAATGGTGTAAAATCGATTTGAAAAGTTGTTACTTTGTCAAAAATTAAGTTTTAAAAACACTTAATTTGATGACGTCATCAAGTGATGATGATGACGTTAAATTATTTTTCAATACAATGTAAACTAAAGCTTAAACGATTATCTTTAAAACCTGTGGTTCGAGATGACTGTATCGTTTATACTTTTGGATCTACGGACACTTAAATGTAGGCTACAATTGACTGCCAAAAGCGTCTATACATACATATATACATATATACATATTTGACCAAAACCCATAATCATGGGTAGAGTGAACCGCTGCCAGTGTCTCTCTTTTCCAAACAAAAGGAAATGATATTAATTTGAGGAACCGTCCGCAAATGCAAATTGATACCGAGAATGAAATCGGTCGCTCGCTTTTCCCATTCATTCACGGCTTACGAATTGTAATAAAGCTTATTGAATGGGAAAAGCGAGCGACCGATTTCATTCTCGGTATCAATTTGCATTTGCGGACGGTTCCTCAAATTAATATCATTTCCTTTTGTTTGGAAAAGAGAGACACTGGCAGCGGTTCACTCTACCCATGATTATGGGTTTTGGTCAAATATCATCTCTTTTTGATTATAATGTCAGGATAATTTACACAGTCGAAACTTCATTAATAAAGAGGTAATTTCAACGATTTCGAAATTCTGCCTTTGAAAACGTTTCCTTGTGTTTAGGTAGGTATATCTGTCGATAACCGACTGAATATGGCACTTTTTACTCATTCAAGTTGGCATTAAATTCATATATAATGCCATTTAAATTTTAAATATTGTGGGAAAGCAGAATATATTCGAAATCACGAATGAGCAAAATTCTCACCTTTCGCACGTGCAAACTTTGAGCGGACGTTGCGTGCGCATCCAATATTGAATCACCATAAATTTTTGCATAGTGGTATTTAATATATAGTTTGATAAGCATGCAAAGTTTCAGAAGATTTCATTAAGAACTTGGATCACAACGGGACTCCAAAGTTGATAAAAATCGTGAAAATCAAAATTTTTAGTGATTTTAGCTATTTTAAATGAATTTGGGCGTGTCCCCACGTGTGCAACTTTTCGATTTTTAACTTTAAAACTAGCCTATAACACAATTTAGACCTTTAAGAAGCAAAATTGAGCTCCACAACCCAAGGGATGGCCCAACACCAGAGAATACTAATTCACAACTTTTGTGTTTTTATAAAATTATTCTTCAAAAAAGCACTAACTTCAATAGCAAATATCTTTATGAAGGAGCAAGGTAGGAAAATTTTCCGGTAGATTTTCGGAATGCTTGAACAATTATCTAAGATGAAAATGTCCTCAGATTTTGAATAAAATTACTCCTTAATGGTGTAAAATCGATTTGAAAAGTTCTTACTTTGTCAAAAATCAAGTTTTAAAAACACTTAATTTGATGACGTCATCAAGTGATGATGATGGCGTTAAATTATTTTAAAATATAATGAAAACTAAAGTTGAAACGATTATCTTTAAAACCTGTGGTTCGAGATGACTGTATCGTTTATACTTTTGAATCTACGGACACTTAAATGTAGGCTACAATTGACTGCCAATTGACTGCCAAAGCGTCTATACTATACTTCACGACAATCTGTTGTAAAACAGGGGTTCCAGAAAACCCACTTCCCGATACTGCTGAAACATGAAAAAAATTTTACAGTCGATTTGGACGAGGTCTAGACGCCCTGCAAAGTTTCAGATCTCTAACTTAATTTTAACATGGTTTTTAAGGCACCTGAATATGGCGATTTTGGGTTTTTTACCTAATTTCGTATAACATGCTGGCGCGTATTTTGCGCAAATTTCTTAAGAACCTCCACATAACTATTTCTTATTCCTGTCATCTTTAACATTGAATTAGAATGTTTTGAACTTAAATATACCTGCTGAACTACTTTCGATGAGTCTTAATGCCTGGAAAACAATAAAGGGGATATAATAGTATAGGGGGTAAATAGTGTTGTGAATATAAGGGCAACGGTTATGCTTGCCAGCATTGTGATATATACTTCACGACAATCTGTTGTAAAACAGGGGTTCCAGAAAACCCACTTGCCGATACTGCTGAAACATGAAATTTTGTTTACAGTCGATTTGGACAAGGTCTAGACGCCCTGCAAAGTTTCAGATCTCTTACTCAATTTTAACATGGTTTTTAAGGCACCTGAATATGGCGATTTTGGGTTTTTTACCTAATTTCGTATAACATGCTGGCGCGTATTTTGCGCAAATTTCTTAAAAACCTCCATATCACTATTTCTTATTCCTGTCATCTTTAACATTGAATTAGAATGTTTTGAACTTAAATATACCTGCTGAACTACTTTCGATGAGTCTTAATGCCTGGAAAACAATAAAGGGGATATAATAGTATAGGGGGTAAATAGTATTGTGAATATAAGGGCGACGGTAATGCTTGCCAGCATTGTGATAATAATATGTGATTCTACAAATAGTACATACAATAACAATATGTGATTCTACAAAAACAAAAATGTTAATTTCTGAACCCTCCTAACCCTGGTCCTCTCCTCAGATTTAGGTTGCAAGGAATGTGGCCGTGTATTCCAACACTCCATGACTCTAAAGCGACATGAACGCTACCACGAGAAGGTCCGAAACCAAACTTGCTCGGAGTGTGGAGTGGTCTTCAGATCAGAATCCTATCTCCTCAACCACCTGATCAGCAGTCACCACATCATTCCTTCTATCAGGTATTTATTTAGACAGTGTTAATGTTAGCTGTGTGGTCTTATATGACTAACTATCAAGGGTGTTCAACCTTAGATACATTTATGACTTGTGAGTTAACGTTTAAAATGCTCATTGTAATTCAAGTTAAATGTTTCTTTCGGCTTTTGGACCTAATTTTTGGAGCCAGACAGCCCAATTTGTCCTTTTAACAAATTATACTCACACTATTTTGTTTGTTTCAGAAACGATATCACAATAAAAGTTGACGAATCTGCTCGTAATGATATGAATTCACGAAGCTGTATCATCGACCTTGGAAGGAAAAGGACCAGCGGCTTCTGTCATCCCTCCAAACCACAACTAATTCCCTCCAAACCACAACTAATTCCCTCCAAACCACAACTAATTCTCTCAAAACCTACTCCTAACCCCTTGATCCACAGTACTGACACTAAACTGAAACAGGATTGTAGTCCAATCCAGCTCAAACAATCCGGCTTTAAGTTTACATCCAGTTCTAAAAATGTCCTTGAAACGAACTCCGATTATGATAAGCGTCAACACTTGAAGGTTTTACCTAAGATAGAGACATGCATTAGTTTGACGGACTCCAAAATTAGTTCCTCTAAATCTGAAGATTGCCCGGAGGAAAGTTATCTATTAGGTTTAGATCTTATAGCGATCCAAGTGGTGGTGAACTTGATGTTTATTAGTGTTAAAGATTACTGTATGAAGATGGAATTGTCAGATTGCAGGAAAGGGTTTGAAACGAATTGAAATGCTTTGTTTTTATTGAAAGAATCAGAATTTAGATCATTTTTAATACTTTATTATATGGTAAATAGATTGGGTAGCACCTTTTGCATTTTTTACTATTGGCATTGAATAGCGCGTATGTCGATGATATACGCGATGATCGACAGTCGATTATAATGTACATGGAACTCTTCTTGCTATTTTGCCGATTACCAGAAAATTAATTTTTTTTGCAGGCTGCAGTGCTTATTACATGATATTGCATGTTCGCTCCATTTAAACGTTGATTTAGATCTTGACAATAAAAATGTATGTTGATTTAAAGTTGTGTAAATGTAATAGTAAATAATTACGGAACAACATCATATTTAAATTTTAGGTTGCTGATCGCAGCTGTTTATAGTGTTAAACTTTTTATTTTCCTGTACTTTCAGTAATTACAAGGCATCTTCTATGCATAGCAGTAAGAATTAAGATAAATTTAAAACATAGTACAGTCAAACCTCCATATACTGGGCCTCTCGGGGGAAACGAAAGTCCACGGTATAGAAAAAACGGGGTGATGATTAATCACTCTACAGTCGAATGTCACGTGACTTTTTCAACCCGTTCTCTAGCTGGTCCTGAACGACTTTTCGAAATCCTAGCCCTCTAATCTGATCCCAACCCTAACCCTAACCCAATCTTTAAGAAAAGCATACACTGAAACCCTAACCCTAACGAGAAATTAGACTAACTTCCTTATACAGTCATATCACGTGATCGAGACAGTTTTTCGCCAATATCTCGTCAGGGGAGCATTTTAACCCTATGTCATGGGGGTTGATTCGGAATCAGCGTCCGAAAATACATCGATCGAAGTTGGTTTCAACTGTCGGGTGCCCTTTTAGAACAATCTCAAAGATCGACTGTAGAGTGATTTAGCACGCTCGGAAAAAACGCGTTATATAGACAGCCGACAGGTCCAACTGGTCCATGTGATCCCAATCCTCAGTATCTGAGAGTCGGTGACCTCTCAAATACCTATTAAGCGTGAAGCGTCTCCTACACAATACCCCATGCACTAGCCGCTAGGTCATTGACATTACACCCAGTTTGTTTTATAATGACGGTTCATTTTGGCGAAGGCGTCCGCGTATTTAATTTTGACCATTTTGAAGGCTGCACCGTCTTAAATTCATCAAATTTTCTGGTTTACATCCGATCTATTTTCAATTTTGAGACCTGTAGTGGCGTCTAAATTTTTTTTCCCCCGTTTAAAGGCTCCGTCTTTATAAATGATAAAGGGCGTTTTTATAAAACAAACTGAGTGTATATGCCCGTATTGTGATTCAATTTTCAACAGCTCCGAGCTCGATATGTACTCAAATCAAATATGGTTCCTTAGTCAACTCTGAACTCCCTGCCAGTATCCAGATCCATATAAGGCTAGGTGCAGTGAAGGAAGTGGTCCACAGATTGTTGATCGTGAAGATGCCTATTTCATACTTCTAAACTTCTCGAATTCAGTGGCGTAACGCTGCCCCGGCCACCCCGGCTACGCCGGGGGGCGCCACCCTCAGGGGGCGCCAAAAAGGCGCCCTTTCTCAACGAAAAGTCGCCCCTAGGTTTTTTCTTGAATTTTTCTTGAATTTTATGACCTCTCACTGAAAATAACGCCTTGGTGTATTCCCCTGTCCAATTTAGCGCTCAGTCGGTGTGAAAAAAATTTCTGGGGTCCTTTTTTTGCTCCAGGGGCGCAAAAAAGCTGTAGGGGGCGCCAAAAAAGGTACCCGACCTTTTTTTTTTTAATTTTTTTTAGGGACACAAAAAATTTGGGCGACTTTTTCGAGCCACCGGGGGGCGCCAAGTTAAATCAGCCACTAACGTTACGCCACTCACCACTGTTCTCGATAGGTTCAACAATAGCTGCAGTATTATAGGTGTGAGTAGAAGATTTTGGAATCATTATCCAGATTAGGCCAGAGTTCAGTATAGTCTTCATTCAAGAGAATAAAATATTATAAATTTAAGGAATAAGGAACATGGAGTTGACTGCGGAGATGATTGTCGATTGATGCTATGGATTCAGTTAATAATCTGGGCTACATAGAGCGCGTACTGGTCGTAGGTGCGCGGCCGGGCTAGCTAGCTAGGTTCAAGAATACGCCATGTTTATCGATAAAGCTCAGCGCGCGCTCAACAACACCGAAAATTAGGCTCAAATTTCGCGAACAGCCAATAGCCCGCCTCCGTAGCTCAAATTACATGAACGTGCCTTTGTTCAGAGTGAAAGCCGCCCTATTCGAGAGTCCCTTCCAACATTCTAAAGAGTGATAAAACATGTGATGAGAGGGAACTGTTCTTGGGAATATGGAAACCGAAGAAAATACATTAAATTAAGAGTGGCAAGTAACAGAGCGCCTCCGGCAGCACTCATGTAGCACGTGATCCACATTACATGCAGAGGAGAGGAGGAAATATCACGTGTACAGGAGTAATTAAAGAAATTAGTACACGTGACCAACTCTCACGTTACCATTGGTTACCTGATAGCACGTGGGCGAGTTCGCTAATTTGATTGGTATTAATTCAGGCAGTGTGATGTGCCAGTGAGAGTAGTGTATTCTGGTACATGTGGGAGCCGACAGGAGCACTAAAAACACCCACTGAGATCTTATCTGAACTATTACGTCGCCAACCAGAAAAACTTATATTATCCACAGAGAGAGAGACAAGGTTCGTTTTAATTAACGATGGTCGATGAGTTCTACGATTTTTGATAACAAATACTTCAAAGAGACAAGGTTTTCTGTGATTCATTAAAAATAAAAGTTTCAATCAAATTAGAACGGTCCATAACTGCCATTATCAATCCAGGAAACTTTGTTAGGCCCAGTGTCTTCCTTTAAAAAATCTCCGCGTAGCACCACATAATATGGAGAAATTTAATTCAAAATAAAATGATACAGGCTTGTGAGTAAAACATTTTACGAAGTGCTGAGAATTAATAAACTAATGCTACTCCCTGAAAAACATATATTTAATGAGTTAGGCTCTCTCTCAATCGGGTAAATTAGTGACGTCATAATATGTGTCGTGGGAATAAATCATTATCAGAGCAGTGAAGCAGGCCAAACTTCGAGATTGGGAAACGTAACATGCGCGTTACAAATCGATTTAAAATGTTGTAAAAAGATTATAAAAAATAAATAAAAGTTGTGATCGCATCATGGGCACTGCATTAAGATGACGTATGCTGCATTAATTAAGATTTTACTGGCTGTTTCAAGAAAGTCTGTATCAATAATTTGGTCAAATGACCTTCTAATACTCTATAACTGATAATTAACGGCAAAAAAATTAGAAAATCCCAGTAATGTATGTACTTAATAAATTTGCAAATCCTGGCGTTTTAGTACCTCAAAAAGGGGAAACTTGGTCAACATAATTACAAGGATTTAAGAGATATTACAAAACATCAATAAATTTAACCTTTTAACAATGCCTTATCAAAGTACACGGTTCCGGTCTCTGCAATAATTTAAAAGTAAAGAATCTTTTTCACACGTTTAACAAATAATATGCTAATAAAACATGGTCGGTATCGTAATCATTACTGTTACCAATTTAATAATTATGTTTAAATAACAGCTCAAAACACATGGTTACAGATAAAATATATTATTATAATCAACACAGATAACTATAAAACGTCTATTTAATGTCTGAAAATTTAGACCGGTTTCTGATATATCAATCCATACGTTTAGATTCCCGTTTCATCATCAGAAACACTGACAATCTGACCAAATCTAATTTGTCACACGTGACGCAGCACGTGACAATCTGACCAATATTTCACACGCGACGCAGCACGTGTAACCCATAATGTCATCATGTGTAGAGAACATCTTGTACACTGTACAATCCTTATCTTATCTCTGAAATATCTTGAACTCTGTAGAGTGTGAGGAATGTGTCCCTCTAGCGAGGGAGGCGCCGTTGCTTCGATACTTTATCTTCCAAAATCTTCCCACGCTAAACGGCTCTGAAAATGGGGGTTGTTAAATTGAATAGCTTACTTCCAAAACAAAAGGAATAGTTATTTCACACTAACTTAAACATATCAACACTAATTGGGCGACGCGCTGGTACCTTAGATCAACATCCACTTTAAGGTACCATGTGTGTTGTGTGCAGGTAAATTTCAGCTACAACCGCAAAACAAGAGCTTAAAAACAAGCATCAAGATTTTAATCTAAATGCACGTGTTAAAATACACGTGCAGATAAGAACAACGCGAATGCTGGAAAATAAAGACTGGGACTCACTGGTATAGACTTGTTCACGTCTTTAGAACCGTATTGTTTTACACCTTTGTGCGCGAACACGGGGTCATCTTGTCGCACGTGCTTTGCGTTGCTGAAATAATAATAGTAAGTTGAGCTGAAAAATAAGTTCAACAATAAATTGCTGAAATAACAATATTATCAAGACATAAAATGAATAATAAGTTACTGAAATAAGAGTGATGAGTTGCTGAAATAATGATAACAATCATAAGTCACTAAGTTTGACGGCACTTTACAGCCTGCTCGAATCTTTATTTTCCTTTCAGTGCGCTAAAATATGCCGGAAATCAATAGTATTTACAATTGGAGGCATGCATATTTCATAAACATCCAGCTACAGCGGCGTGCGATGCTCGTGTGTTAATTTCCTTACAGATTATACTACACCCACTTAACAAACAATAACAAGTCAGGATTGCACTACACTGTAATATAATAGTGTATAATACAATAGTGTATTTATTATTTAATATGAAATTGTTTAATGAAATAGTGTTATATAATAATAGTGAAATAGTACAATGTAAACTGAACTGTAACATACTGTAATATACTAGAGACCCCTCTAGAAACAATTTCATTATCTTTTCTAAATAAAATCGCGCTTTATCACAACCGTAATATGTAAATTGAACAGCAGTAAGCTTTGCATTAAACTAAACTGTGATAAATTGGGTTTAAATATGAACAAATGCAACATTTTGTATTGAGCCACATTACTCGCACCGTTTTGACATTTTGAGCATATTTTGCACGTACATATTATTATTAATAAGACAGACAATATACACGCACAATGTATATCCTACACTATTACAAATACAATGTATTCTTTACGGTCAAATAATGTAAAATACCAGTAAATGACAAATATGTACATTGTACTTGTAAGTTCTTAAGTGCATTATGTTTTGCGGGGGCAGAAATAGTCGCCAGATAATTTAAATAATAGCGAAATACTAGTGAAACAATAGTGAAACAATAGTGAAATAGTGAAATACTAGCAGTTACCTGATAACGAGAGAAGGAGAGGGAACAGTACTGTTATTCTCTGAAGCTACAGTACTGTAGTAAACTGGTTGAGGTTGGGTCTGTGTGACAGTGTACCTGTCAGAGGCCGGCTGTAATACAAGGTTATGTTAGATAGCGGTGTACACTAGTGTATAGTGTATACACTGTTCACAATGTATACAGATAGCGGTGTACACTAGTGTATAGTGTATACACTGTTCACAATGTATACAGATAGCGGTGTACACTAGTGTATAGTGTATACACTCTTCACAATGTATACAGTATACAAAGTGTATACAGTGTATTAACAATGTGTAAACTAAACACGTGTAAAAATGCAAATCTATACACTATACAGTGTATATGTTGTATAATGTATATACTATATAGTGTATATTACACATGGCATTAAAACGTGGAAAGATTAGATTTGGTATTCATGAATACCAAATTTTTTTCCAAGTTACTATGTTATTACTATGTAATAACTTAATATGTATGAATAGTTGGAGTATGTGACATATGCCGCAGGGGCCAGTTAGTGTGAGTTTAAAGTAAAATTTCGGCACTATAATTAGTTTGATGAAGACATTGCTCGATGAGGTTTAAACCCAATTTACCCAAATGTCGGTAATCATTTGTAATGTTACATTTATTATCCGAATTTTGTCACAACAGTGGTTTAAACGTGTGTTAACTTCTAAATCTAACGTGTGTTAAACTGTTAAGATGATTTGAATGGTTCATATGCATCTAATGCTAGAGAGTACACATGCATTTTACACGCCAAGTTTCGTTGAATAATCAAAAATATTGAGAGGAATAAAAATCGGCTATTAACTATGATCTGCCAAGTCTACCAATTAACTAATTAACTAATTGACTAATTTATAAGTTACCTGTCTGAACATCTGTGTAGCTACAGGTTGCAGATGAACAAGAGAGTTGTTAGAATGGGTCATGTGATTCAGCTTGCTCCGATCAGCCGGCATTATCCTCAGACCCTGAAATGAATAAATTATAAGTAATTACACACTTACACTATCATACACACGATTAATTATTGAGAATTAAGTAATTATTTATACATTAATATGGTAGTTACACCCCCTGCTAAATCGGTATATTATATATAACTCTGCACCCGTGTCAATATGTTCATTATATGCAAGCCTCTTGATTTATAATGGTATGTGTGATAATAATATGTCGACACAACACATTTGTATAGTAGAGTCCTTAACCGGTGAACCGGCAGCTAAATTAACTTATTGACACAGAGATATCACATTTACATATTATGTTAGCACATCGTTAGTATATAATAAAATAACATTATATGACTGTTTGTGCGTCTGTCTAACATAAAGGTGTAATGTTGTGTACTACACATTTTAAATGTTCTAGATAACGAATATAAGACTTCTCTAGAAGTTGTGAGTATTGTGGTGGTACTTAATGTGGGGGAATTCTGAAACACTGTTTCAGAAAAGTGGGGGAATTCTGAAACACTGTTTCAGAAAACTAAATGGGTGTAACGAATTTTAAATACATTTAAATGGATTTAAGTTAATAAGTTATACTTATCGTGGAGTATTAGTGGTGCTGTATATTGATATGGTTGGTCAAAGTATTAAGAGATGTCAGTAATGGATACGTACGTTAGGCAACAATAGTATCCTTGATATTTTATGCATTATACATACTACTCATTATACATCGTGAATAGTAGTTTCAACTTTTGAACAAATCGAAAACGTTTATATTCCTGTACAATAAAACTGGCATGTTTATTTAAATTTGTGTTCTGAGCCAATACATTTATTCTGCAGAATAAAAGACACGTATTACAACAACCCACTATTCCCGTACTCGACAGTTAAACTTAACCAGACATAACAAACTGTTTAACCATATTTTAAGGACAACCAACCCAACCAGGACTCCCTCACACACGCCAACTGACTTTTCCGAGTTAGTGTAACAAGTTCCGAGTTAGTGTAACAAGTTCCGAGTTAGTGTAACAATGCCAGGTTTAGCCATGTTACTGTTCTTGGTTGTGGTGTTGGTGGAGGGGGTTGGTAGTGTGGATCTGATGAGCTACTCCTGCATGAATACCACCTCTACTTTTGATAATGTAACCCTCCATATTCATAACGAGTTCAGGGCTTATCATGATAACACAAGCGATCTATGTATCAATCAGGAACTGGTGAGCCTTCATTTTGACTTGGCTGGATGTTTAATTTGTCATTTACATATCATTATCTTAAATCATGAAATGAGGCATTATGCAAGGGCACAAGAGTCCAAGTCATATCAATAACATATCATTACAGGTCAAGGAATTATTTTTCTAACTTTTAACTTTAAAATTCGTGAACATTTGGAATATCTAAATTTCAGAAAGATTCGGCAGAAACTTACGCAAATACCCTGGCTGAACTAGACTCTCAGGCAACAGACATAAGCTATTTCCAACATGATCCCACTAATATGCTAGAAGGTTTGCAAGTTACGATGTCATAATGTTACGTTACCATGGCGTCATAATGTTACGTTTTCATTAAGTTTACTGTCCCACACAAGAATGCCTCTTGTTTCACACAATCTGCATAATTGCACGTGCTGAAAGAGAAACCCCCTCCTCACGTGCAGACTAACAGAGAAATGCCTGCAGGAGAGAACCTGTGTAGAGTGAACAAGAAAATGCTGCTACATCAGGGAGCAGCACACTGCGTGGAGAAGTGCACTAACGCCTGGTACTCGGACGAGGAGCCACTCTTTAACTACATGTTCAAGGAGGAGCAGTTCAACCCTACTGAAACTGTGAGTGTTGGGCAAATGGGGCATTTCTGGGGGGTTTTCAGGGGGGCATTTCTGGGGGGTTTTTCAAGGGATTTTATATGGCAGGAATATGTTTTTTAAATTGGACTTTATCAGGAGTATTTGATTTGAGACAACACTTTTCGCAGTCTGCCATTATAGACATCAGTTTTTTATTCAAATTAACACATAAGGACTCTATTTAAGCTGTAATGAGATATGCAGTTGAATTGTTGCTCTTCGACAGGTGGGTCACTTTACAGCACTAGTGTGGAGAGAAACAACAGCTGTGGGATGTGCTGTGGCACAGGGGGCACATGGTGCATATGTAGTCTGCAGATACTATCCACCTGTAAGTAGATATTATCGGCCCGTACGTAGAGATAGTGTTATCTGTTCTAGTTATGTAATATGTAGTAATGTAATCCCTTCTGGGAGAGTGTCGTTGTCAATTTCGACACCTACGTAACAATTTTAGGGTGGGAATTGGGAATTTGCTAGCATAGTGACCAGAGTTACCTTACAATTTGCCAGCATAGTGACCGGAGTTACTTTACAATTTGCCAGCATAGTGACCGGAGTTACTTTACAATTTGCCAGCATAGTGACCAGAGTTACTTTACAATTTGCCAGCATAGTGACCGGAGTTACTTTACAATTTGCCAGCATAGTGACCAGAGTTACTTTACAATTTGCCAGCATAGTGACCGGAGTTACTTTACAATTTGCCAGCATAGTGACCGGAGTTTATTTACAATTTGCATGGTGTTACTATGATAGTAACTGTAACAAATCTATCTATTGCAGGGTAACGTGCTATATGAATATGAAACCAACATCGGTAACAAAATCAGTGACGAAGCTGATGATGACAAGTGACAACCCCCTCTTACAACCCCCTCTTACATACCCCTCTCTCGACTCTCTTTACAATTACTACTCACGTTTTGTGTACCCCCGCAGTAACACTAACCATCTTTTACTGATATCTATTTAATATTTTAACATTTACGTCACTACCTCACAACCGAGTTTAATTCTTCTGTACTCTATAAAAAGCAAAGAACAAAGGCGGTGATCTGTAAGATGTATTATAAACAGTGTTCTCTGGTCCCGTGTAGTAATAGGGACAATGTTCAGTTTAATAATACCGAGTCATATTAATGACATGTAGTAATATTAATGACAGATGTTCTAAAGTTCATTAAATATCACAACGATATCTCGCGTTCTAGTGGGAGACTGGCACACAGCTGCTCTCTGTGTAAATCAGTTTTATCATGTTGAGATGATCTGTTGTGATTTTATACAGCATATCATAGCTGTTAGCTTTTAGTTTGATGGCTAAACTATTGATTGAAATATCATTAATACTTATGCGGACTTACCCAAAATATGCAATAATATGCAACGTTTAAAAACCATTATACAGAAATTTACATAATAGCATTGTGAAACATCAAGTCACACAAAATGCCCGCTAAGTATAACAGTCTACACTCAATTTTAATACGATAATAACTTAATTACTGATGCTAATTAACGAGTTGACTAATTAAAATAGGCAGATAATATGATAAAGAGATAACAGAAGAGCCAAGCTGGTTGTCAAGGTGATTAGGGAACCATTAAAGTGAAATCTAAATCTGGTCTTTGTTTGAAACGGCCGGAGTTAATAGTTGATAAGTGGTGAGTCAGTAGTCACTAGTATAGCCGAGTATAGTAGGATAAAGTCTTTAAGTAGCTTACAATGAGGGTAAGTGGTCGTTTAAAAAGTTCGTTTACTTCGTTTTTAGAACAATCACTAAATTTGTGTCATCAGTTATTATGAGACAATAAAAGGATCGTATTTAAAACTAAATTGGTCCCCAAACTGAGATCACCAAGTTGAACAATCGGCTTAGAATATTAGGAACGTTTATTATGTCATTTAGCATCTTAAACTTTAAAAGTTGTACAAGTGTCAGGTCTAGGTCGTTTTAGTGACTTCATTCATTAAAAAGTCGTGCCACTGTTCAACTGTTAAACCGCTCGTAAATTTGAAAAATACATTTAAAAAATCTAAACTAGCTCAGACGAATAGCGAAACCAATTGATCAGCTCAAAAAAGTAGTTCTCTAACAAAATTTAAACGCTCTGTGATTGGACAATTGGTGAGATTCGGAGCCTTTGATTGGACGACTTAAACGGGACTATTACTCTAACACACCGACCATAATATCTTAACAGTTAACATACCATGATGTTGTTGTTCTGGTTGTTGTTGGAGATCTGGTTGTTGATGGCCTGTAGGTGTCTCCCCGTGTTGTTGCTGCTGTTGTTGCTGCTGTTGCTACTGTTAGGGTTGGGGGTGTGGTTCATTGCCTGCACGATGCTCTGAGTCACGGTGTGTGCTAGGCTACTGCTCGCTGGGGAACTGAAACAAGGGTTTTTAGTATAATTTAGTTATATTTAGTACAATTTAGTACAATTCGAAATATAATTCAAATATTTTACAAGATTTAAAATCGCATGACTACCCCATCCCTCTACTAAAAATACATTACATTTACACATATTATATTATCGTAACAGTCCCTTATTTTGACACTAATTTGGCCTTGACAGACTCATAAACTGCTGACCATTAATCTTATTCTTAATGTAACCTTACAGCTACAATTATTACTGCACACTAATCACCAGCATGTAGTTATCCTTGAGTATCGCTTAATGGTGAAATTTAGGGACTTGACAGATGACAGATCGCTGGAATGTCAAATATTCGATTCTAATGACATTATATGTGACAGTATGGACTTAGTGAAATTAGAAAATTTCGTATGCGAGCCGTTGAAAGCGGCTCCGACGTTGAAGAGATGCTAATAGTGATAAAATTAACAGGGAGACTTATGATACTTTATAGAAGAATGTGGTATTAACACATAACACGGGACTCCAGTCTACGCTATTATATTGTGTTGTTTAAGTCGCATCAGTGGGAGATCAAAGTTAAAATATGTTAAAATCAGAAATTTACAACGCCCCCATATTTATTTCCAAGGCACTCAGTTGTGTTCTGTGGAACTAAGACATTGGCCCTTACCCACTTACCACATGAAGTGATATAAACTGACAGGCACGGGATGCACTTATTGCACATGTAGCACGCACTTCAACACTAGACTGATTCCAACTTTAATTAAAGTCTCTGTAATTCGACTTACAAGGTCAGTTAAGGTCAGTTAACGAAGGCAGCTCTGAAGGAGACCAGGAAAATTTAAAAACCATTACCAGGCCAGTTACCAGGCCAAAGGTTAAACTTACAAGAAGTTGGCAAAATAAACCATGCAACTAGTAAGATTTACTACTTACTACTTGCTAAATTGAGGAGAAAGGGAGTCTCACCCACCCCCACCTCGAATCTCACCTGAACTGGGAGGTCATGAGAGCACTGATCTGGTTCATACCCTCAGCAGCAGCCAGGGTACCCAGGTTCTCCGGCCTCACTTGGAGGGGGCGCTGTACTGAGATGGTCGGTGACTTGTTGTTACCCGACATTGTGGCGTCTGAGAGCTGGGGAGAATGTTGGGTTAGGTGAAATATAGCTGGAGAGACAGTGAAATTAAGTGAAATATAGCTAAGAGTGAAGTTAGGTTAAAATGATCAAAGGGTAAAATTTCATCCAATCATTCCGAAGTGTGTGCGCGTATTTCGGGTTGATTTTGTCAAACATTTGCCAGGAGAATTAAAGTCAGGAGAAGTCAGGAGCTTCATCTCAACACCACTACGGTGAGGTAATCAAGTGTTAACATTGAGCATGTGTAAACCAACGGGGAGGCGGTGCAAACCCTTCAAGTGATTCACAGATACACAACAGACCAACTGCTACTCAGTTATCAGCATTTAGATTAACGTGTAAAATGTTCCATGTTAAGATGTAATTTATATAATTTATAAACTATAATTGTAATAATTATCTAGCTGTATCTTTCAACAAACATTCCTAAGAATTAAGTTCCTAACTTATATTGAACTATAAAATTTTCAAAGAAAACCCTGAAGAACCTCAGTCCTAGGAATTCTAACCTTCTCGGGACTGCCACCAGCCTCTGATTCTGACCCCGGTAACCCAGCTAGAAAACGTCCGCCATTATTCCGACTTCTTCTCAGTGCGTGCTGATGTCTTGATTCGTGTAAGTATTTCTGTGGAGAAGGTTGTATTAAGTAAATATTAATATGGGATCATGTTCATATTAAACCAAGATTGATGTAATCCAATATTAAATGTATTCGGTTTCTCTAGAATGTGTAGTTTGAGTAGGTAGCAGCGAGATATCTGTAAAATTATTAACCTATTTTAGACTTTTAGAACGACTTAAAAATCAAATAAACCATCAAAATTAACTACACTATAAACCTGGCGACTCTTGGGTATCTTGCCCTGAGCTTCTAGCCGGGCACGCTGTTGTCGCCTCTTCATGATCCGGTGATACTGTTTGGCATTCACGTACAGCGGCTCATCGTTATCAACATTGGATACGATGTTACTCTGAAAGTGGCACTGTGTTACCTGGTATGATAAGAGGACCTGTGGAATTTACCAATATAAACACTGTCACAAGACTGCGGCTGAGATTAACAGGAAATTCTCTAGATCACATCGTAGGCTGAGATTTTTTTCGGAAAAAGTGGACCAAGGGTGGTCATTGAATTCAACTACAAGGAAGCTCGTGGAATAATTGCGATTCTAAATAGATGGGAGGGGATTAACAATCAGCTTCCAGCATTGACCTATCAAAACACAGAATCACTGTCACGTGTCGAAACAAATATGGTCACATTCCAGATCTATATATTGATTTACGGGAGGGAAGTGATACTTTGCTGATACATACCATACAATAAACAAATTGCTATTATATGCCGAATCAATCTCTAGCATCACATCCCTCTCATAGCCAAATTCAATAAAGAGTCCAAATCTGGTCTAAAGATCCCTGTTGTAAGAACGGACTGTCAGAAGTGGAACAAGCTCGACCAGTGAACAGCTTGATTGTAATGACTTTCAGGGACCAGGGTCCTGGCACTGTTCCGGCACTGTCCTGGCACTGTTTCCGGCACTGTTCCGGCACTGTTCCGGCACTGTCCTGGCACTGTCCTGGCACTTACCCAAACATAATGGAAAGAAGACATTCCGTCAGATTGCCGTCGAATAGAAGAACTAGGTTTATTCCACGAATAACGCCATTAACAATAATAACACACCAATAAAGACGGAGTTACCAAATTTGCGGGGTTTAGTGTCAATTAACCGTATATTAATTAGTTTATAAGATAAGATTACCCTTATATGCACTTGTCATAGAGGTGAACTTTCAGTTAATCTAATCTGATAAGCATGTAGAAGAGAAGTTCATGTAAATTTGATATGCATGTAGAGTACAGAGCGACATTGCTTTATTGCATGACAGTCTCGGAGGGAGACGTGAGAGATATTGTACACAATGTACTTTCATTACATTTCATTTTAACACAAGACACTGTTTGATGGAATATCCCAGATGTCACAACACCTGTAACACCTGTGTGATGCCGTGATGGTGGTCTGGTGCAGCTGTTCGGAGACACTCCAGAACAGAGTGTGTGTGACATTGAGAGTTAATTATGTTATGTAAATTGTAAACTATATAATTTAGTTATTTTTAACGCGTCTGCTATAGTTTTTCACTATTTCAGATGTGAGGGACGGGCCGGGTTCTACCTTGTCGCTCACAAAGGTCGTGGTTACATCAAGAGGCAATAGTGTTTTCCATCTTAAGAGTTAAGATAGTGAGCCTTTTGTATTACTGCAATCCTAGAGTAAAATGATGCACACCCATGGTCCACTATTTCATTAACGGGGGATAAAGGAATAAAATGCCTGAATAGGTATGTTATTGGGTTGGGACAGGCCTTGATCATACCATATTCGGGTAAAACTTCCAGGTTGGTAAAAGATACTGCATAAGGAGTCAATTCGAGGGGTAATTCCAATACCCTAAAACTGAGTAAGGTATCAGTCGGTACTGAACCACTTGTAAAGCTGAGTAATTAATTACATTAACAAATTAATTAATATAAATATACTCGGGGTCTGAGTAAGATTTACCTCTTGAGCTCCTCCGATTAACTGGGACAAAAAGACCATCATATCATTCGAATATCACGCACAGTATGACACATATACTCAATATTGTGTATATTGCAACTGTAAGTGTTTTGTAAGAGGTTAGTGTCAAACAGGAACAATCTGAGCTTGAATCTTTATAATAAGGAGACAGGTTGGACTTTCTCCTTGTAATAAGGAGACAGGTTGGACTTTCTCCTTGTAATAAGGAGGCAGGTTGGACTTTCTCCTTATATTAAGGAGACAGGTTGGACTTTCTCCTTGTAATAAGGATACAGGTTGGACTTTCTCCTTGTAATAAGGAGACAGGTTGGACTTAATCCTTATATTAAGGAGACAGGTTGGACTTTCTCCTTGTAATAAGGAGACAGGTTGGACTTTCTCCATGTAATAAGGAGACAGGTTGGACTTTCTCCTTATATTAAGGAGACAGGTTGGACTTTCTCCTTATAATAAGGAGACAGGTTGGACTTTCTCCTTGTAACAAGGAGACAGGTTGGACTTTCTCCTTGTAATAAGGAGACAGGTTGGATTATTTTCTCCTTAGAGAAAGGAGATATGTTGGCATTCTAGAAAATTCAGGCACGGGCCAGGATTGTATTACAGCATACACCGCTAAAGTGCACGATTGTTAAAACTAACATTTCAAGATTGACAAGGATGTGTTAGAGTTTAAAAAGCATGGAGTACCGGGCCAGAAGAAAGTTTCATTTTACAAACACATACGATAAAGTTTAAACTCTGGGACACACACATTCTGAGTAACAGCACAGCTGTTCTGGCTTTTAATTATGCATTTTGGAAAGCTCAGTGGTGAACCAAAGTAAGGATTCAAACAAAAGAGAAAACAAAGACAATAAGTCACTTGACCAAATGACAAACCACAGAGGCCAAAACGAAGATAATCGGTTCAGTGACCAGCTTGTATAGTATGAGGTCACAGAAAATGCCGTAATTTCACACATAATCGTACCCTGCTTGCTACAGCTCACACACTGAACAACGTCATACTCAGAACACAATTTGGTTCAAGAGTAAGGTAAGATTGGAGACATCCGGGCGCCGTGTGACGACACTACAATTTGAATGATACTCATGAGTAGTTGGCAGACGGCTTTGAAATCCAAGAACACTACATTTGATAAGAGATGTATTTTGATTTTTAGGTGGACACTTTTGGATCTGAATGATGTAACTGAGAATAGCGTCGTACAAAATATCCCAAATATAACATCAACAATGAACACTTGGTTGAATAAGAAAGTGCTGCCATTCAATGTATAGACAAGTTGACAGAACATAAAGAATATGATTAACATGCTTCTGGTCCGGAGGTTAAATGAATCAAGATACAATTCGGCCATATCTGACCACGTGGACACAAAAGTTAAACGTGAAGTGGAGATCCCACACAATGAATTACAAATCGTACACAAACGTGTAAACAATTGGCTGTTAACTGTTGCGCTTAATGGATCCGTTATCCCATTATTCACCTGAATAAGGCTATTATCGATGGTTCCCGCCAAAGGAACGGCCACGGCGGTATTGGAGGCTGTTAGCATCGCCAACTGTTGGCCGGTGGCTGAGTTGGGATCGATGATGGCATAGATCTGTCTCTGTGATGGATCACTGCCAGTTGTTTGGAACAGTTGCAACTGATCAGCCCCAGTTCCATTACCGATTATCTGAACTGCAGTGAGATTCTGAAAAGTTCCGGCGGTCCCGGCGACTCTGACGTAATTAACGGGAGGTTGAGCTTCTCGACAGCTCTCTGTCATTACTTTGCACCCGATCTAAATTTTGTCCAGATCTAAACAAATATCCCTCCTCCAGGGCAGAATAACTCTGATTGTACAATGCACTACAAACTACAAACTGCTATTGGCTAAACACAACTCAGCCGCACAATCACAGAGAGCACGGCAAGGGCTCTCTCGACACACGTGACTAAATTGAGCCGTATATGGAATAATTGCACTTCCTTAGTGGGCGAGTTAGGCACTCCTGCGCAACACGTTTTTTATTCAATATCTTGTGAGCCGCGCGTAATATAATGCGCGGCGCTTACATGTTACATGACATGACGTACAATAATGAATATAATAAGTAGCTGGCTAATAAATATAGTTATATAAGTAATAAATAATAGTCTGATGAGGAAGTCAGAAATAAAACATATTATTACAGAAATTAAGCAATCAGTTTCCACTACTTATCAATATCAGCACTCTAAATCACTGCGTATGTCACATTTGTAGGTTTACAACCTACCAGGACGCGCACCGAGTTGGACTTGTCGACGGTCCCAATATTGAATATATGGAACAGATATTTTACGAGTATCACCCGTTTAATGTCACATGCGGCTTTTACTAATTCGCTCGCCCAAAAATTTCACGTGACTTTGGTTTTTATGGTATTGCAGCCGTACAAAACTGAAAACGGTTTTACATAAACTCTAAACCCAACCCTAACCATAACCCCGAAGCTAGCTATCCATAACCCTTACCACAACCGTTACCCTAACCCGAGCCCTAAACAATCGAATTCATGTTTTACTAGCCTGTCACGTGACCAAAATGGTTTTTTGCCCATAACTCTCCAGGGAAGCATTTTTACCCTACGTCGCGTCATGGGGGGGGGGGGGTGATTCGGAATCAGCGTCCAAAAATACACCGATCGAGACTAATTTCATACCGAAAGGGCCTTTTCATAAGAATTTTCTTAAAATTTGGGCGAGCGATTTAGTAAAAGCGGTTACATGCACATGTTTAAAAAACTTAACCTAATATAGCTGATTATTCCACACAATTTATTTATTAGTGTGCAGATTAAAAAATTGTAGTTCTGAAAATTAATAAAAGTGCCGCGTAATATGGATATTAAATGATTTTAAAAATAAAATAAGCACCAAAATTAGAGCTAAAAATGAATACAAATTGCTTACTTGATACACGTTGTATTTCCTTTAGTGTTTAGTGTTTATGGTTTAGCTTTTTTGCGCGCAAAAAGGGCCAATTAACAATTAAAAAGGAAAAATGTAACGTCAAATGTAATATCAATGATCAAAGCTAAGTCAAACATATCAAATTTGTAAAAAATTTCACATGTGTTTATTTGTTTTGTGTTTTGGCTTTGTAGGTCTATACCCTATATGCTATCAAAACGCCACGCGCACGCCGAGTTGTACTCGATCGTCGACTGTTGACTGTTTAATATAATTAATTTAATCAAATATTTTACGAGTATCACCCATTAATTCCAAATTCTGGCTCTGCAACAAATTGCAGCGCGTGCGGATTATTATCAATTATGGTTTTTCCATGGCCATTTTCGGTTTTGCAGAATAGTGTGACTAAGGCCAAAATAGTTTTTAATTTTACCCCTTTGCTGTTTGCGTTATATTAATATAATCCGTTTGCGTTTATATAGATTAATATATTACTCCTTAGGAATACATAATTTTACCTTGACCATTGTTAATGATCTGGCCCGGCGCGCGCTACTTCGTAGCTCGTGCCATTTCGAGAAGAAAGCGGCGCGCGCTACTTCGAAGAAATTTAGACGAGTAACATCCGTCAAAATTTTACCGACCCTAGGCCTCTGACCTAGTAGTAGACCTATTATATAGGTCATGGATCGAGAGTCATTTTGAATCAGCATCCAAAATTATAACATTGCTGATTGCAAATTAATCTCAAATTTACTTTCCACTAGATCATACCACATGCCACAGCACCAAATCAATGTTTATATTTCTGATTATATCATATATGATTACTGGGCGTTGATACATGTTACGTATCCCAAATATTATATCTTCGGCGGCTTCGCGCGCGAAAAGTGGCATGGCCAATGGCGCATGCAACGTAATATGTCAAACTGGGAGGCGCTCAGCCCGTCCACTGTCATTCCACCGGATTTTCAATTTGTTTATAAACAGAAAATTTAAAGCCTGAGGTCCTCATATTATATCAAGCAATATATATCAGGTATATATCAGGTAATATAATCATTAACGGATGTTACTCGTCTAAATTTCTTCGAAGTAGCGCGCGCCGCTTTCTTCTCGAAATGTTACTGGCCCGATGGCAAGTGCTACGAAGTAGCGCGTGCCGGGCCAGACCATTAACAATGGTCAATATAATCACTGATATAATATAATACCAGAGCCTTTTTACTACTACTACTACTTTAACATATAAAATATAAATATTCGCGATATTCAGTGGGAGCGCGTGCATTCATGCATGTGGGTTTAAGATTATTACATGCTAAGTTCACTGAATGGATGATGATTAATTACTCTACACTTGACTGTCACGTGACTTTTTCAAACCGTTCTCTAGCTGGTTCTGAACGACTTTTCGAAACCCTAACAGGAACCCTCTAATCTGATCCCAACGCAATCCTTAACAAAAACCCTAACCCAATCCTTAACAAAAACATATGCTAAAACCTTACCACTTACTGGGCGGCGCTCAGCCTGTCATTCCGCCGAATCTTTATTCGTTTATGAACTAGCCTGGGGTCCCCAGGTAAGCTGAAACCCTATAATGTATTATATATTATATATAACCCTAACGAGAAATTAGACTAACTTCCTTATAAGGTCAAAATATATCACGTGATCGAGACAGTTTTTCACAAAAACAAAAAAACATATGTTTTACAAATACATAACATATGTACGACCGCCCACGTGCAAATTAGACGAGAAATAAGAAGTTGCATAGTAACCAGTCAACGGTGTTGAAACGCACATGCACGTGCAAAGATTTGCAACCGACATTTTGATTGGTTTTGTGGTAATTGCGTTGTGTTCATGAGTGCGAGCTACATTTTAATCGGCTGTATCTTCGGTTGTGACGGATATTTTTTGATGCGATAAAAATTACTACCAAAGAATACTATTAGTATTATAAGCTTCCTCCCTGTGCAGTGTGCCCTGTGACCATGGGCTTTCTACTTCTAGTCTCTGTTATAATTCAAAGAATTATTTCTGTATATAATTCAAAGAATTGTTTTTGTTGTCTGTATGTACGACCGCCCACGTGCAAATTAGATGAAAAATAAGAATTTAGGTAACAACCAAAACGTTCCATAGCAACGGTGTTTTAATGCGCACGTGCACGTGCAAAGATTGTTTTAACGTCATTTTGATCGGTTTTGTTGTTTTTATGTTGTGTTTAAAGTGTTTTATATTTAAATCGGCTGTATCTTCGGTTGGGATGGATATTTTTTGTTGCGATTACAATTTTCTTTCAAAGAATACTACTAGCTTCGTCCCTGTTACCACGGGCTTTCTAGTTTCTGTATAATGTAGAATGTCTGTACAACCGCCCACGTGCAAATGAGCCAAAAAGCAAAAGGTTGCAAAGTAACCATGGTAACGAGGATTGTTACACGCACATGCACGTGCAAAGATTTGCGAGCGACATTTTGTCTTTTGATCGGTTTTGTGGTTGTTACGTAGAATTACGTTGTGTTCAGCGCGAGCAAAGACAAATAAAATAAAAGACATTTGTATGTGCAATGCGTGTTTCATTATACTCACCTCTGGTCCAGGATCAATAATGTTGTTGATCGCTATATACTTATATAGCTATATTTTGCAGAAATGACAAAGGCTGCGGTCTGTGGATTGTTGAGATGACATTAACTGTCAATGTCATAACATTAGCTGCGCATTTCAAGATCCAGCAGTGATAAAACCTAAGGATAAAGGCTAAAACAGTAAATTAGAAAAAACAATTAAATTGTATGTCGTATATGGACACGTTCATTTGAGTTTGAGGATATTGGTAAACAAAAATAATAGCGTTTTTGACGATAGAGGCTTAATTTTGACATCTATTAACCTAGCACGTTCAGAAGTTCTGAACATTAGCCACGTAACCCATACTCCCATATGCACTGCTCAGAAAGAAAATCTATTGTTGTTAGGCACTATAATGTTTCAAATGTCACATTTTTGTGACTTAGTTAACTGCAGTTGTCTAATTATCATTCCTAGGTCTGAAACATAGTAGATTAGGTCAATCTAACAATTATGATACAACATTGGTTAAAGGGCACGGATGGAACGGTTACAAGGCAATATTTAGGTAACTTTGTCACACTCAGAATACCATACCTCTATTCTACTGTGAGGTGTCCTCAAAACCCTTTTTACTCATTATTTGATGGTTGATCTACCAAGTACGGAGTACCAATCATAGCCCTAAAATATGTTGCTTTGAATAGTTAGCTATTACAGGCACTTGGTTATTGGGAAATGAGGTTAATTCTGTCACAATATATGGAATTTAAAATTTTGGGCGAATTATTTATATCTGATTTTGGTTTGAAAGGCGGAAAAACTTTACATGATGACAATGTAGCTGATGCAAGTTAAGATCAGTTGATGTTTACATTGTCACAAAAAATTATACGAAATCATAAATAGGTTAAAAACAATGATTATATAATGAAATAGTCTCTTATAATAACTCTTATAATAACTGATGTGACAAAGTAAACATGTCTTGCCCCTATTTTGAAGACCTATATCTCTATTAGAATTCAACATTCTTTCAGAAACGATTGGTAGAATATTGTCCAGAACATCAGAGCTCAAGTTTAACAATTTTAGGTTAAATTTGTCAAAGTCACTAAAAATGTGACAAAATTAACTTTTCCTGCCCCAACAATATCAAGACAGTGTGTTAAAATTGGCATAGGAATTAGGATGCTTTATTGCCTATATTAATCGATCCATACTACGAAAAAGATCGGTTAATCTGATGACGATTACCTAACTCTTATAATAACTGATGTGACAAAGTAAACATGTCTTGCCCCTATTTTGAAGATCTATATATTCTATAACTCTTTTAGAATTCAAAATTCTTTCAGAAAAAATTGGTAGAATATTGTCCAGAACATCAGAGCTCAAGTTTAGCAATTTTAGGTTAAATTTGT